CTTCCTCTCAATTTCACTGTAAACCAAATACTAAAAATATTAAGTCAAACACATTTTTTAACTTAAAGAGAAATCATCTTTCAAAATTATTACCCAAATATAAATGTCATTGTCCTGGGTCTTCAAATAAAAAAGAAGGAAAGAAACTGAGGATGATGTCACATCGGAACAGTGTGCATTGGGATTCAGCCAGTGCTTTTGGACTGAGTTGCGACATGCTTCTTCTTGACGTCATGGGCAGACCAACCACCTGGAGGACCGACTCGCCGGGCACTCTGTCAGGGTCACAGATGTCTCATGCAACGAGTCTATGCCCATCCCTGAAACTCATTATTTGTTTAGAATTTAAATTTCTAGGTCAAAATTAGTGGACATTCTTAATGTTTTTGATCCATAGCCTTCAAGTGTGTTCATTAAATGCACCTATTAACACTGCTACTCTCAGGTTTTGACTAATTCACCAAACATGTGCTAAGCCTGCCCATTATTCTTTTTAACACCTTCCTGGATCTGATAGGGTGAAAGTTACCTTCTCTTTTGTTTTTCCACATGCTCTGGCAGCCACTGAGGCCCCTGCTTGGTTTCTCTTCAAGGAAGAACTTGCCTAAGAGTGTGGTTAGTTGGCACCTCACACCGGAAGCATCTTCAGAGTTGGTTTCAGGATTCAAGCCAAGGTTGTCCTCTTCCCAGACACAGCTGAGCCAGTGACTAAGCATAGTGGGCTGGACTAAAGACTGGCTATTATTGTGTGACATGGGACTCCTTAAAAAATATATTCGCTCCAGGGACCCCACAGGTTTGACAGGGATACTGTTAAAGCAGCCCTGCACGATCCTGCTTCCTCTTCCCTTAACTTGCATGGGTACCAGACCTGCCCGCTGTTTTACAGGTTTCCCTGCCTAATCCTGTTTCACGCTTGCTGTGAACTGAATGCTTGGGTGGGTCCAAAATCCATACATTGAAATGCAAATCTCAGTGTGATGGTATTTGGAGATGGGGGCTTTGAGAGGTGATTAGATTATGAGGGTGAAGCCCTTATGAAGAGTATTAGTGCCCAATATAACAAGAAGCCAGAGAGTGAGCTCACTCTTTCCATGAGGACACAGGTCAGCAAAGTCAGATGAGAGCCCTCCCTCACCTGAACTTGAATGTACTGGCACCCTGATCTCATACTACAGCCATCAAAACTGTGAGAAACCAATTTCTGTTCTTTTTTAAGCCAAGTAGTTTATGATATTCTGTTACAGCAGCCAGAATGGACTAATACAGTGCTTTTATCATTCAGACATTAAGCCCCAGTGAACCACTTTTCCTCCTAACTCTGTATCAGAGTCCATGCCCCAGAGAACACACCTGACACACACCTTTAGTCACTTTCCATTTGCTTACAAAATGAAAAAGCCAAATGCTCAATGGCCTTTGTACATTTTTCTGTTTTTCTAACACAAACCTTTATAAAAGTGTTCTTAATCTGTTTCTGCGTGGCACTTATGAGGGAGAACCCCCCCCGAAAACCAGAATTATCTTCTTTAGGGTGGGACCCTTGTAGTATAGGATTCCTCTGCTAAGTGAGTGTTCTAGAAAACTATCTATATCAGTGTGCCAGCTGGCATTGTTGTGAGAGGCTGTGTTTGGCTTCAGTGATTTTTTTTTTTGAAGACTTTCGAAGCCTTTGCTGATTTCACAATGGGTAATTTGCAAGTGCACCTGCCCACACTGCCCTGAGTGTTCACCTGTTTTGGACCAAAAACAGCACGACCCCTTTGCCCCACCCTTCCATTCACCTGATATTTCCCCGAGAGACATTTGTTGTTTGCCAGGATGAAGAAACTCCTCCATTAGGAAACATTTTGCTGAGGTGGAAGACACGAAACGGAAAAAAATGGCAGAAGCACTAAAAGGCTCTAAAATCGACAAGCTCAAAAACTGCTTTGAGCAGTGGGAAAAACGTCTCTGTAGATGTATTGCATCAAATGGAGAGTACTTTGAAGGTGATTGAAGTTTAAACATGTAAGAATACATACACAATTTTTATAAATAAATCCTATTTTTGGCATGCCCCCTTTGTATAGTCTCCTACACACACAGTTGCACCAATCTCATTTTTTTTTTAAAGACTGAAAAGGCCTCCCAGAGAGGGTCCCTCTGAGACTCTCTGGGAACAACCGGCACCCTGCCTTGCCCGGAGCACACCCAAGGGTAACTGCACCAGCACCAGCCGCGCTTCTATTTCACTGCTGTGCCTTTCTGTTTCAGTGGAAGGACTCGGGATGACTCTTTATTGGTTCCCAGATTGAGCCTCTCTTTCTTTCTGCACTGTATCTGCTTTCGTTGAAAAACTCAACACCATTCAACCAATATTTATTGAGCACCTACTGTGTATGTTGGTCAAGTATCATTTCTCTCCACTAGTGTTCACAGCAGTACCAGAATTTACTTCCTAAAATATAAATCAAATAATGTTGTATCTGTCGCACTGGGAATGATAAAACTGAAATGAAGGAATGTAGAGACAGACTCTCATATGCTGGGTAAAGTGTAAATGTTAATAAATTAATGCCGACAATGCTTCATCAAACAAATGACCACAATAAGTCAATGAGACTTAGAAGTAGCAAGTCCTCTGACTTAGTGGTGGTGGGGGGATGTCTTGTATTATCTCTCTCTCCTGGTAATTTATTTTCAAGATATGAATTATTTATATGATATCACCATGCTTCTTTTTATTTATGTTGAGAATAAAAATCTGTCTTCCAAAATGGATTGTGAGATACTTGCATGATAAGATTAACCTTTGTGACTTTTCCTCCTTGTATTCAATTCAGTGTCTGGCACAGAGTGAGTGCAGAATGGATATGGGGTGGATTAATATCTGTATTATACTGGAAATGGTGTAAGAAAGATCCCACTGAACAAATAGTCAAGGAGTAAAGGAGAAATAATTCAACTCCACTTAAAAAAATAGTCAACATGTTTCTGTTTTACAGAAGCCCCTGTTTCATAATTATTGACCATGAAAAGTGAAGTTGGAGAGCATTATGCTGAGTGAAATAAGCCAAGCGGTGAAAGACAAATACCATATGATCTCCTACAAGTGGAATCTAATCAACAAAACAAACAAATAAGCAAAATAAAACCAGAGACATGGAAATAAACAACAAACTGATGGTGGCCAGAGGGGTGAGAGAGGGGATAACAGGGGAAAGAAGGGAAAGGGTTAAGTCAAGGAACATGTTTAAAGAACCCAAAGACAAGGACAACAGTGAGGGGGAGGGGGGGCAAGAGGAGGGGCGGAATGAATGTGGGAGGGGGACGGGCAGGGCAGGGTAGAGTCATGGGGAAAATATGGGGACAACTGCAATTGAACAACATTTTTTTTAAAAAAGTGACATTCAGATACATCTCACAGTGGCTTTGAAAGCAAAGACCTGGCTGTGAATTTCAATTCTGATCTCAACTCTGTACTCTGACTTTGGCCAAGTAATGAAACACATTCCGACTTTTTTTCCTGTGAAACCCAGAGCTCCACCACTTCCCCAGGGTCATCGAGGAGCCCAGAGGAGATGGAATTTACGGCAGACTCCTCCTTCACTGAGGAAGAACATGTAATTATGCCCCTAATTAATACACTTTAGGAGAGTTCTTTCTTGTTTCCAAATCTCAATTCAATTTTAAGCCATGACCTATTTATGTACAAAAGCATTTTTTCTCACTTTTAAATGGATGCAAATTTTACTCTTTGAGTTAAAGAAAAGAGGGGCCTTTAAATTTTTAATTTAATAATTTAAATAATAATTGACTTCATGGTACAACATGAAAATTTATCTCAGTAATGCTGAAAACTCATGAATCAAAGAGATGATATTACATGTGTATGTGGCTTTATATTAATTTTTTTTACTTGGAAATTTGCAGACTAAACCACCAAATAGAGAAGAATAATAAACACAAAAGATATTGTTATTTATGGTAGTTTTCAAGTGTGCCACTAAAATAGCCCGTGGATTATAAAAAGTCTAACAAAATGGCTTTAATCTCTAAGTATTTTTTTAAATATTTTATTTATTTTTAGAGAGAGTGGAAGAGAAAGAGAAAGAGTGAGAGAGAAACATCAATGTGTGGTTGCCTCTCATGTGTCCCCTCTCCTGGGGACCTGGCCTGCAACCCAGGCATGTGCCCTGACTGGCAATCAAACCAACGACCCTTTGCTTCACAGGCTCGTGCTCAATCCACTGAGCTACACCAGCCAGGGCTCTAAGTATTTTATTAAAATTAAATAATAAAAAGATTTATCTTCATTCATAAAATCTATTATTTTATAAAATTATGGTTCCTAAAATCTATACCACCAGACTCAGAATATTGACTAGATTTAATATTGGTAATAATAATAATAAAACATTATCTATAATATAACAATATATTATATTAGAATACATAATAATATCTTTATTAAACACTCTAGTGGGTAGATGTCTCTGTTTTACAAAAGGCGAATCTAATAGCAAATAAAGTATCTAGCCATTGAGTTGTTACCACGTGTCATAACCATCTGGCTGATTTTATTGCTTTATCTGATTCTGACCCTAACACTATGAGGTGGGTTCCATGCCCACCTTACAGATGTGCAGGTTGAAACTTAGGAAGATGCATAAGCCCAGAATCCTACAGCCAATGCAGAGTAACTAAATTTATTCTTAAATGCGGTATTTAAGCCTGCCTGATGTACAGGCCCCTTGTCCCCCCAGGATAAAATACGGTGGCAGGCCATCTGTTAAATAGGTGATATTGTGCAAAGGGGCTGCAATTTGTTTTAATCAGTATCAAGATGATTGTCGGGCTTGCCAAGTACCTCACACTGCACAGAAATAACACATTCAAATATTATTGATACAGGCAGTAAAGTACTTAACCGTAACATTTCATAATCCAAATCCCAAGAAAAATGTTTCCCTGAAGCAATAACATGGTGAATAGAATTCAAAATTTAGCTCACAAACCTGTTTCGGGCTCAATGGAAAAATAAGGCTGCCCTTCCAAGATACTGTAAACCAACTTGGCACTGTTGCCGTAAACTGGGTCATCAGCATCAGTGGCTGTTACATTTGTGACAGACGTACCTAAAAAAAAAAAAAAGGAGAGAGAAAGTGAGAAAGATAGTAATTAACACATGATTCTTTGCCAAGAGCTAAAATTTGCTAAGCATATCATACAGAAACCCATGTGTGGGAATAAGGAAGAAAAGAAATCTTTTTAAAGATATGGAGAGAACTACTCCATCATAACTTATTCAAGTCTTTTAAAAGAAAGAGTACTGCTGGACTGGTGTATTACATAAAGATAGCCCTTTTAGAATCTCTATTGTTTAAGATTTCTTTGTAGTTTTCATTTCAAAGCTACTATCAGACTCATGTAGGCTTGGAGAAGATTGAAAAGGAAATATACCAAAGAAATATGAAATGTAAGTTTAATAATACAATAACATAACATGTAGCACTGAAGTTTTGCAAGAGCACAACTGAATATACAAAAAAATGGCTGCTGGTAAAAGCTGTCCAGAAATATCAGAGGGATAGTTTATCCATCTTATTTCATTGCTCAGAATATAAAATAAGATTGGAACCACCAATTCATCCATATGTTTAGGTAATGGGGACTTACAAATAATAGAAGCAAAATCTTTTCTTTTTTTCAGATTAATTATCTATTTTTTATTCCCTCCTTCAGCAGTTAGGCACATATGATTTGCTGGACATGAAGTATATATACTAAGACAAAATCTAGAGGCAAGAAGTTGACAGTTTGGTGGTGAGAAGGAACGGGGGTGGGACAGGCAGCTATGTAGAGAAATCCAGCTGAAGGCAATGGCACTAGCTTTGGACCCCACTTTGTCCTGCAGCAAAGGTGGTCAGGGGCAGACTTCTGAGAGACGTAGCATCTGAGTGAGATCACTCAAGGCAGGTGGAGTTCAACCAGAAGAAGGGCAGGTAAGAAATGATAAGCAATAGGTCACGTATAAGTGAAGGCAAAATACTCCCAGAGACTGTGGGTAATTCTGGGAACTACCGAAATGGGGGAGAAATCAGATTCTGGTGTAATAGCAAGCATCGTGTTCTACAAGGGCAGCATCAGTGTCTTCCTGATCCGGTAACTGTCAGACATGTGACAGTGATCAAATATATATTTGCTAATGCATGAGTAGATGGATGAATAAATTGTCTAACAATGTCATGAGGGAAGCATCCCAGTTGAGTTTCCTGGAAAGCAGACTCTGAGCTAGAGATTCTGTGCAGAATTCGTATGCGGGTGGTCCTCTTCCAACAATGTCTAGAGAAGTGAAGATAATATTGGCACTTGGGCTGTGATGCCGTCACAACAAAGGCTTCAGTGGCCTCCACTGGGGACTCTAGAGCTGGGACGCCATTGTGGAAATGAGGTCAGGTTTCTAGGACTCCCCCACCCTCGGAAAGGAGCCTTGACCTTGGGCCAGGCAGCTCTCTTCAGCTGAAGGACAAGCAACCCTGGGCCACCTACGGAACACCCCTAGCAATGAAGGCAAGAATGTTTCTCTGTGGCAGGAAGTCAGGGGTGGATCTGAGCCACAAACTTCTCTCTTTACTGAAATAAGAAAGAGCTTTTTCAAGATCCTGCCAGTCAAAATCTTTGATGAATTTTCAATTATGGATGCTACACTGAAATATATAACAATAATATTTTCGGAGCAGTTGATAGATCTGTACCTCTAAAATTTCTACTCAGAGGAATGATGCACAGGTTCTATAAAATCGACAGTTAGAAGGAAAACACACCAAATGCCACTCCACCAGACACTGGGAACCACATTATAAAAACAAACTCCAGACTCACGTTCACAAGTAGCTCATCAACTAGCTGGGGGAAGTAACATGTGAAAGTATAGTTGTGTAGTTATTTGAATGCCCTGTGGGATGGCAAAGAACGCGAGCAAAAAACTTTCCCGGTGAGAGGAGTATAGTAAGATAAAAGTTCCAAAATGATTTCTTAAGGGAGAGGGGACTGGAAAAGTCAGCCATCAAAGCTAAGGTTGGAGATGCAGCTGCGAATGAGATAAAGGGGGCATGTGAAGGCCAAGATGGGGAGGGCATTTCATTTGGAGCTCAGACCTGCATGGTGGGTCTCTCTCTGTTCCTGCTCCCAGACTCAACTGGAGGCAGAGATGTAGATGATTAGTAAGCAGACTAGTTAGGAGGTCATGGCTGCAGTCCAGATGAGAGGTGATAAAACCTTGCCACCAGGGAATGATGACGAAGATGGATTTCAGTGCGAATACTCTTGTTCTGGCCTTTGCACTAAGTGTACGTAACATGTTCAATGGCGAGTAGACTGAGTGAGGGGTGCACAGGAACTATTCTTGCAACTTTTCTCTGAGTCTAAAACTAGTTGCAAAAAGGTTCAAGAATGAATTCAAGAGCCACTGAAAGTGCTGACAGAGGTCAGAGCCAGATGAGAAGGGGGAGCCCTTCCATGCAGAAGGACGTGCCTCAGTGTTTTTTGTATTGCTGCATTTGGTTGTGTGTAATTTTCTCTGATTTTCTTTTTGAGGAGAAATGTTTCCCCCTCACCATGAAGCAACACATTATCAGAAAAATAAAGTCAAGTTTTATTCTCAGTATGACGTGAAATTAATGAGTGTGAGCATTAAGTTCCAATCACTGCCTGGGCACTGGGAAAAGAGAATGGAAGAGATAGTTAAAAACCTCTGTCATCGCCAAAATGACCTTCCAGTGGGAGAAGGTCAAACTCAGTAATATGTGTAGGGGCCTAGCAATTACCACACGCTAAACCTGGGTGTCGAAACTCTAACTACTAATCAGAATCTAGCTTTGAATGATACTTAGATCCCTGTGGTCCCTCTCAGATCTATGAGATGGCAAGACAAAGATGATGGTGGAGGATTTTCAAAAATCTTCTTAAGCAATTCTGATACAAAGCTATAGTTCCACATGATTATACTGGGCACCAGACTGTTTAAAAATTAACTTCAGCCCTGGTCAGGTGGCTCAGTTGGTTCGCATGTTGTCCACACACCAAAGGGTTGTGGGTTGGATCCCCAGTCAGGGCACATAGGGGAGACAACCAATCAATGTTTCTCTCACATCGATGTCTCTCTCTCTCTCTCTCTTCTCCCCAACCCTCTCTCAAATCAAAAAACATATCTTCAGGTAAGGATTAAAAAAATGAATGCTACTCTTTGCCATAGGAACATTAACTTCTATTGTGATTCCTTTAAAAACTCTAATTCGGATGTGGTTGTGAAGTCTTTTTAGACTATTCCTACTGGGTAAAGGACCATGGAGACTATTTCCCGCAAAATGGGAGTCGGCGACATTTCCTCAGAAGTCTACTGCCACAAGACTGATCATCATCATATCTATTTTTGCTGATGACTGCAACTGGATGCTGTCTCATAATGAGAGGCAGCCCGTGGTCGCGTTACTGAACACGAAGACGGGAGTAAGGAGGCAAATTTCCATCGTCCGCATGCTCTGTGGTTCGGTTTTCTTCACACACAGAGATGGTAATTTTCACTCTGCAGATCTCAAAGATCTGCATGAGGATCCAATGAGAAAATATTAAGTGTAGAAGACTGACTGAGAAGGTAAATTGAGAGTCAAACTGTCTGAGCCAGATCATTCGGTTTATATTACATTCCCAACTTTGACTAATTCCGTGTCCTGAGCCAAGTAACAAAGCATTACTAAGCTTCAGTTCCTTAATCTGCAAAAAAAAAAAAAAAAGGAAGATGATAATAATTGGTACATCCTGGGCTTGTTGAGATAATTAAATGCAATAATTTATGTAAAGGGTACAGAAGAGTTATTAACACAATATTTCTGAAAGCTTACCGTCACAGTTCTAGGTATATTATGTGTATGTACGTGAGACTGAATAATAAACCAATTTTAAGTGGTAGAGATGTTGCAACTCATAAGTGTAGTTCTGCCTAATCGTTTTCATAGTAGGATATTTCCTTACTTTGGGGGACGGAGGCAAAAAGACACTCCTCAATGTAACAGTACGTCCATGTCCTTATACAAAGGAAAACACCCACGCACAAACACAATGTCCCATTCTCCTGTCCATCCAGCTCATGTCCATTTCCTCTGTGATATAAAATTGCTCTGGGCTCAAAAATCAAATGTGTTTTGACGTCATAAACACAAAGACAGGCACTGGGTCCATTATTGTCCATGTCACTTTCTTGATGTCATTTGAATGGATGTCATTCCAATCTCCTGGCCCCGGGCAAATCCCACACTCTTGCCAAGGTGAACTACTGGGTTGGGGACCGCAGTGCAGCTCAGGCCAGCTCTGACCCACATCCTCATCCAGGATATTTCCGCCTGATGTGCGGCTTCTCAGGAAACCTGCCTCTTTCCGCCTGAGACATCTGGAAATGAAAAGGTAGCATGACTTTCCGTCAAGGATGATATTTCTCCTAATGGTGATTCAAGACTGTTGATGCACCTGTACGTGGGAATAGATGTGCGTGGAGCTTCTGTGGATGCATTTGTCAAGTGATTACCCGGAGGGGGGGAAATGGATGCTTTGAGGTTAATCTTGCAGGCAAAACGCTTTCCCGTCAAGCTGCGGTATAGGCTTCTCCCTGGAAATGCATGCAGTCGGCAGACCACAGAGGCCAATTGAAAAGTGTAAACCTTGCAAGATAATGTTTCTTCAAAGCAGCGAGTGTTGCTGTGCGATAAATGGGACCCTGAGTAATACCCACAAAATCTAACAGGATTCTCTGTTTGTGTTTTCATTTGGAACAGTTTTTGTCCCTTTGTCGAGGATACAAGAGACTCATTTAGCGAGTGACTATAAATTTGACACCGTGCCATTTCTCCAAGAAAGCCCCTATTATAATCCAACTCGATGCTGATCCTATTATAATAATATAGCTGTTGTATTTCCAGCTGTTGTCAACAAAAATGATCCCTGTCACCGCAATTCATCCTGCCAGTAACAAGTATGAACACGTCCATTCCAAGGTGAATTCTGCTTTGAATAGACCCATTTTTCTGCATTCCGGTTTTTTTTTTTTTTTTTGCTTGAGACTGGCCAGGGTGCCATTTGGACT